GAGCTTCAGGAAGACATCCGCTGTTGGCTCTCATACGCACGATCGTGGAAATATGGGGACGCATAAAAAGGCCAATATTGACGAAATGGGAGCAGGACAACCTCAACTCAGCTTTTTGAAAGCAAAATCTCGTTTTCCCGCACAGCTTGCAATCGGAAATGGCACAGGATGTCTTCATGTGTCGACCATGGCCCATTTACAAATACTTCTTTTCATCCAGTGGTAGCGCGATTGCACGTGTTGTTCGAATACGTGCATCCCCGAACTCTCGTGGCGGCGTGGCTTTCCAATGGGTAGGCGATGGCCCGATCCGATCGCCCGCTCTGTCCAGCGGTTTGCTCTGCAATTCCTTAACTTGGGCCTGAAAGTACAAGCTTCGACGAGTGGATGTGTTGGCATGGTTGTGCACCGACGCGTAGCATCAGGCCGCTCACGAAGCTGTTCGGGTTGAGTACTCTTTCTCACGGGAGGAGCAGGGTTGGTATCGTATGCGCGCGGACTCCTCTATCACAAATCAGTTGTTTGGACAGGTCACTTGCAAAACTTGAGGCGAAGTTCACACGCGCGCGTCGTCGCGGGCGCATGCCGAAATCGTTCTATCTAATATAATGATAAAAAACCGGATTCTGCAAATCGAGGGGGCACGAAAACATGTAAACACATGCGGTGTTGCAACGTCAGTTGTCAAATGCAGCCTGCGCCCGCGCCACTTCAAAATCTTGCGGAAAAAAACCGAAGTGATCCCAACATCTCATAACGCGCATGCCGAAAACGCGCCCGCCCTAGCCAACGACTCGCACTGAAGTGCCCGCTGGGAAGTGCCCAGCGGTCAGCGCCACCGCGGCCGCATCGGTCGCGCCAAACTAGCTGGCCGCTGTGCGCGCGAGCATGCGCGGGCTAGCGGGGCCGCAGAGATGGACCAGCCAACGCCAAGCACCCATCGCAATCGCCGCCGCATGGGTTATGCAAACTAGAATTGCGGGTGGGCGGGTGGGATGTCTGCAAAAGCGTGGGGTGTGCCAAATCATTTGTAAACATCGATTGCGCCACATAGCTTGCACCACGCGGGTTGTTCGACCGACATTGCCCACAGCTGTTGCACCTTAGATTGCACAGCACAACTCATACGACAGATACTCCACACCTTAGTTGTTGGCAAAACATAGATCGCACCACATGGGCTGCACCACATAGATTTTACGGAATGCGTTGCACCACGTGGTTTGCTCCACATAGAGGGCTAGAAACACACTCGTTGAGATCCACGCAAACTAACATATATGGATTGCGCTCGGTTCCACTCTGGGCGTGTCGGTCCTTCCACAATGGTATTCCCGCTGAGGGATTGGTTGTATGTCCACGTTCCCATTTCTTCAAAACGGTGTTCCTGCTGCAGAATTAGCCCCATGTCTATGTTTGCGGTCCGTCTCGGTTGCGTTCCCGCTGGAGGGTTGTCCCAATTTCTGCGCCGACTGCCTTTGTCAAAAATGCTCCCGCTGTATCGCTGGCGTCATGTCCGCGTTTTCCATTCTTCGGAACGGTGCCTCCTCTTCAGCGTTGATTCCAAGTCCACTGTGCATGGCCTTCAACAAGGCGTTCCGTCTACAGTGCGGGCCTCATGCCTGAAATGCTGGTTCTTGACAAGCGAAGGTCTCATGTCTGAAGCCACATTCGTACCCCGCCCTGGAACCTCCGTCCGAAAGGCTGGCACTCTCGACCCGGCGCGGGCCGTGCTCTTGTATCAACGTGCGGCGTGCGCCTCCCAACCCTGGCCCCTGCGTGCTAGCAATTCAATGCAGAACTCCCGCTGAGGCGTTCGCCTAGCCTAGCAGTTGCCTTTGAGCCTCCGTCCAATGACATGGCGCTCTCGCTACAGCGATGGCCGTACTGTTGGATCGGCATTGGCTCACGTATCCCCGCCATGGCTCCTACGAACTAACACACCATGCTACGCCATGCTACGCTCTGCAGGTCTCCTACACCCTGCGATGTCATGATGTGGCGTGCTGTGCTGCACGGTGCTTACCCTTTCGGGATCAACGTCTTCCTCGACGCCGGCCTGCACGGATACATGGAGGAGTTCGACGCACTGATAAGGGATCGGAGGCAGGGTCAGGACGACAGGTTTGATGCGAGCGCACATCGCGTGTCCTATATCCTCTCCCCCCTCCTCCCCCCCTCCCCCTCCCCCTCCTCCACATCCTCCTTGTCCTCATTCCTATGCTCCTCCTACAACAGTCGCCCGTCCCCCCCCTCGCCCCTCCTCCCTCGCCACTCCCCTCTCCTCCTCCTCCTCCTCCCCCTCCCCCTCCTCCTCCTCCTCCTTCTTCTTCTTAGTCTTAATATTAGTATTATTATTAGTATTCGTCTTCCGCTTCTTCTTCTTCTTCTTACTATTCGTCTTCGTCTTATTCTTCTTAATAGTATTATTAATAGTCTTCTTGGTACTCGTCTTCTTCGTCTTCTTCTTCTTCGTCTTCTTCGACTTCTTCTTATTAGTATTCTTCTTATTATTATTAGTCTTATTCTTCTTAGTATTATTATTCTTCTTCTTCTTCCTCCTCCCT